TTGTTAACTTTGGAAGGTATTCTATGGAAGCCTTAATGGAGATGTAGAATATGTTCATTTTAAGAGAAGAAACCAAATATAAAATCTTTTTTTCCTATTACATGACATTTTCCAAATCAAAAGAACAGGAATGCAAAACAGGCCTGTTACTAACTTCCTGAGTGTCTATGTTATTTCTAGATACCAAGTTGGAGACTAGAGACAATCTACCTCAGTCGACAACTTGTGATTAATTATTAGACTTGATGGACTATTTTTAGTATTTTCCAAAATAGTCCCAACTATGGCTAGAAATAGGAACCAAAGAGAATTATGTTTCAGAGAAAAATTCATGACTTAAAACAATTACAGAAGCAGATTCAGCAGCAGAGAAGTTAAGACAATATTCTTAATCACAATCATCAACAGAAAGAATAAGCCAATATTAGAAGCTGAGAGCATGAGCAGATGTTTCTGCAGTGATAAGAACTATACAGTGGAATAGAAGATTAAAAGAAATAGAAACAGTTCTAATGTCTCATTTCAGAACTATGAGGAAATAGGCAAAAATCACTTCAAGAACTTCAACAGACTTATAAAATATAAAAGAAATTTTAGGAAGAAAACACAGCATTTTCCCCCTTGTAAACATTCAAGTTGCTTAGGTGTTCTAAAGCCAAATAAAATAATAATTATTCAAATGTATACAGTGCAATTTACAATTATTTTATCTTCCTGATCCTCTTATAATTATGTAATGTCTGTACTTATAACTATTACGTTTCTTGCCTTAAGGTCTACTACAAGTGATATTTGTATAGCAGATACTGTATACAGTTTCCTTTTGATAAGTGTTTGCATGATATAATCTTTATCCATCCTTTTACTTTCAAACTTTATCTTTTAATAAAGATATGTCTCCAATAAACGACATATGGTTGTTTAATTTCTAGCCAGTCTGACCATCTTTTATTAATTTGAATATTTAGTCTGTTTACATTTATTTTTTTATTTTTTATTTATTATTTTTTTGTCAGTTTACATTTAATGTAACTACTGGTATACTTCAATTTATATAATCTCATTACTTTTTCAAATTGCATCTGTTCTAATTTGTCTTTCCCCCCTTTCCTATAGATTAAGTATATTTTTATCCTACTGTCCTCCCATTAATAACTTATTGGTCTCATATTCTTTCTTTTTAAAGATTTTTAAATTTATTCAAGAGAGGGAGAGAGAGTGCACTTGTACATATGTGTGAGCATGAGCGGGGGGGGGGGGTCAGAGGGAGAGGGAGAAACAGACTCTTCACCCAGCAGGGACCCCAAACCAGGACTCCATCCCAAGGATCATTACTTGAGCCAAAGTCAGACGCTTAGCCAACTGAGCCACTCAGGCGCCCCACATATTCTTTTAATATTTTAAACAGGATTACCCAAGGGGTACCTGGGTGGCTCAGCTGGTTGGGTGTCTGCCTTCAGCTCAGGTTATGATCCCAGGATATTGGGATAGAGCCCTGCATTGGGCTTCCTACTTCACGGGGAGCCTGCTTCACCTTCTCCTGCTCCCCCTGCTCATGTGCTCTCTCTCAAATAAATAAATCTATGGCATAACTTATTTTTTACAAAGAGAAAGCAAAAATACTAATATGAGGAATGTAGAAAGAAATATGGTCTTACTACATTAAAATAATGAGAAATACAATGAATGACTTTAAGCCTATATATTACATTATGAAATTTAAATTAAATGCACAAATATGTGGGAAAAAATTTGCCAAACTGACACAACTAGAAATATAAAATTTCCATAGCTCTGTGCCTCTTGCAGGTATTGAATTTGTAATTAAAAATATTTTCATGAAAAGACCTTTAATCCAATAAGGGGTAATTCTGAATTCTCCCAAATATTTATGGAAGAAAAAACCCCACTGATTTATACAAACTTTCCAAAGAATTAAAAAAGAAGTAAATTTTTTTATCTTACTATATGAAGCCAGTATAGCCCTGATATCAAACCCTGACAGAAACATTACAAGAATTGAAAATTACAAGCCAATTTCTATCATAAACACATATGTTTAAAATTCTAAGCAAGATGTTGGAAAACTAAATCCAGTGATATAGAGAAAGATAATAAATTACAATCAACCAAGGTTTATCCCAAGAATGCAATATTGGTTTATTATTAATAAATCAACCAATGTAACTTATGATTTGAATAAAATAAAGGATAAAATCATATGATCACTTCAATAAACAGAGAAATAATATGATAAATTTAATACCTATTCATAATCTTTTAAAGATCTCTTAGTAAATTAGAAAAGAAAGGAAGCTTCCTTAACCTGACAAAGGACTTCTGAGGGAAAAAAATGTATCTCATATTAAATATAAAAAATTTTCTCTCTTAGATAAGAACTAAGACAAGACTATTATCACTTCAACAATGCCACAAAACATAAAACAAAAGCTATATGAAGAAAGTTAAGGGCAGCCCGGGTGGCTCAGCGGTTTAGCGCCACCTTCAGCCCAGGGCCTGATCCTGGAGACCCCGGTCCCAGGTCGGGCTCCCTGCTTGGAGCCTGCTTCTCCCTCTGCCTGTGTCTCTGCCTCTCTCTGTGTGTGTCTCTCATGAATAAATAAATAAAATCTTTTTTTTTTAAAAAAAAGACAGTTAAGAAAATAAATAAAACTAAGAGTATTGGAAATGGCATAACAGTGTATGTAGAAAATGTAAGATAATATAAAAATGTGAGCTTTCAAAACAAAATTTGGCAAGGACACTGGAAGCAAACCTAATACAAAAATTAGTTTTATATCTACATACCTGCAACAAAAACAATTATAAAATGAAATTTTTAAATGCCATTTATAATAGCATCAAAATACCAAACATCTAATGAAATTCCACAAAATATCTCCACATGCACATAAATTCACATAAACACTAAGAGAAAAAAATAAATAGAAGGATATATCATGTTAGTAGACCAGCTGTTTATGGATATATAGTCATTATGTTAATAAATTCCATATGTTTATACAGTAAATAAAAATCCAAGTAAAATTTTGTCAAACTGTCAATATGCCTCGTATTTTCTGCAGATTTAATGCAATACGAATTGAAATAAGAGCAGGAGTTTTTTGGCAGAAATTGACAAGCTGATTCTACAATTTCAATAGAAATGCAAAGGGTCAAAAAGAGCTAAATTAATCTGGAAGCAGAAGAACAAAGTGGGAGAACTTATACAACTGTATATCAATACGCATCAGTATACAATGGTATTAGCACAAAGAAGAGGACTAGCCCAATGAAACAGAATGAGTCTAGAAATAGGCACAAATATACAGTCACTTGGTTTATGATAAAGGTAGCACTGCAGAGTAGTAAGGGTGGTCTTTTATTAAATGGTGCTGTATATGTAGAAAATCCAACTGATTTACACATGGAAACAATCTCAGCTCCGACATTACACCATGTACTCAAATACACAATTTCAGATGGATTAAGATTCTTAATGTGCAAGTTAAAACAAGAAAGCCGCTGGAACTATGGCAACCACTAATCAGATATGGCTATTTAAACATAAGCTTGAATTAAATTTAGTAACATTAAAAATTCAGCCCCGCAGTTTCACTAGCCACATTTCAAGTGCTCAGTAGCCATCTGTCCTATATACATAGATATAGAAAATTTCCAACATACAGAGTTCCATTGGACAGCAATGTTCTAGCAGATAATATAGAAGTGTATCTTCATGACCTTCAGGTAGGCTACATTTCATTAAAAGGATAGAAAGAATACTAAGTAAAAAGAAAATATCAAAAATTGGATATCATTAAAATTAGGAGTTCCTGGGAGCCTGGGTGGCTCAGCAGTTGAGCGTCTGTCTGCCTTCTGTTCAGGGCATGATCCCGGTAGCAGGATCGAGTCCCACATCAGGCTCCCTGCAAGGAGCCTGCTTCTCCCTCTGTCTGTGTCTCTACCTCTCCCTGTTTGTCTCTCATGAATAAATAAATTAAATTAAATTTAAAAAATTAGGAGTTAACCAAAAGACATCATTAAGAAACACGGAGTACTTTTATATACTACTACGGAGTGATTGCAAGTTTATATTTTTAAGTGAAAAAAACTAAAGTGCAGAAGAATATGTTTTATATGTCATAATTTATCCTAAAAAGCAGAAGATATACACATACATATTTGCTTATATCTATCAGAAGAAGAAATAGTAAAAAGGATAAACCATAAATTTTGATTACCTATAAGAGGAAAGAAGGACTAAAGTAGAGGAGCAGGCAATAGTACATACCAGACTTTTCTAAATATACTTTTTTTAATAAATTTATTTGGGAACCATTGTAATATTTAACATAATTAAAAAAGAAAATTAAATTTTAAAAAGCAAGTCTGATTTTAAAAAGTTTTTATTTAAATTCCAGTTAGTTAACATACAGTGGAATATTAGTTTCAGGACTATATTTGAAAGCAACTTAAAATAAATGAACCCAACTCTGTATGTACTTGGCAGCTTACCTACACAGAGATGAACTATTCCAAGATATTTTTTAAAGATTTTATTTATTTATTCATGAAAGACACACAGAGAGAGAGGCAGAGACACACAGGCAGAGGGAGAAGCAGGCTCCATGCAGGGAGCCTGATGCGGGACTCCAGGACTACGCCCTGAGCCAAAGGCAGATGCCCAACCGCCCAGCCACCCAGGCATCCCTCCAAGATATTTTAAAACACAGTAATTTGCACATTCCTAGTGGGATATATGCTACAAGTGAAAATAATGACAAAAATATTAAACTGATACGATAATCATATTTTAAAAAATATTCTATTTAAATTCAATTTGCCAACATATAGTGTAACACCCAGTGCTCATCTCAACATATGCCCTCCTTAATGCCCATCACCCATTTACCCCATCCCCCACCCACCTTCCCTTCTGCAGCCCTTTGTTTCCCAGTTAGGAGTCTCTTGTGGTTTGTCTTCCTCTTTAATTTTTTAAAAATATGGAACACTTCAGGAATTTGCCAATTATTCTTGTGCTTGCTCCATGCTAATCTCTGTATCATTCCAATTTTAGCTTATGTGCTGTCGAAGTGAGCACAATACCATAATCATATTGTTGATGTAGTGCTGGTATTGTTTTCTAAGTCTGTTGCTTGAGTAGCATGCGGTAACAAATGAGTAATTACACTGGTATAAATGAAAACTGGGATTTTTGTTGTGGGGAAAAAGGAGATGTATACAATACTGAGTGAAATTAACCAGACATAAAAACATAATTACACTATATGATTCTATTTTTATGATGTTAGAACTCATGATAATGGTTATATTTCAGACGAGAGTAAACATAGATGGGTGGGGTAGGGGTGGGTTGCTGGTAATTCTCTACTTCCTTACTTCTATGGTTGTTATATGATTTGGTTGGCTTTGGATTATTCATGAAGCTGTATACTTATGATATATGAACTTTTATGTATGTTACACTTCAATTAAAAAAAATTAAAGTAAGATTTGTGTGAAGCAGCTAATACTATGCTTAGTGGAAATTTATAGGTTTTTAAAAACTTTATTTGTTTGTTTGTCTTGAGAAAGAGAGAGAGAGGAAGAGCACAGGGAGAGGGAGAGACTCTCTACCAGGCTCCAAGTATTGGGTTCAGGTCCAACTCGGGGCTTGATTTCAAGACCCCGAGATCATGACCGGAGCTGAAACCAAGAGTCAGTTGCTTAACTAACTGAGCTACCCAAGCACCTCAGAAATTTATTGCTTCAAATCTATATATTAGAAACAATAAAACCTGAAAATCGGTAAGCTAAATAAAGCAGGTAGAAAACAAATGGAAAACTGAATATGGGGAAAGGAAAATAAAGTTAAGAGGAGAAATTAATAAAATAGAAAGCAAATATACAAGAAATAGAATTCTAGGGATCCCTGAGTGGCGCAGCGGTTTGGCGCCTGCCTTTGGCCCAGGGCGCGATTCTGGAGACCCGGGATCGAATCCCACGTCAGGCTCCCGGTGCATGGAGCCTGCTTCTCCCTCTGCCTGTGTCTCTGCCTCTCTCTCTCATTCTGTGTGACTATCATAAATAAATAAATAAATAAATAAATAAATAAATAAATAAATAAATTAAAAAAAAAAAAGAAATAGAATTCTAAAAGCCAAAAAAATTAGTTCTTGGGAAGGCTAATATAACTAATAAACTACCTCCCAATCTAGTCAGGAAAAATGGTGACAATAACTAGTATCAGGATTTAAAAGGGGAATATCACTACAGATCCTACAGATGTTAAAAAGATCACAAGAGGATATTATAAAAAAAAACCTTCTACCAAAAAAGTTTATATGAAATTAACATATTTTTGGAAAAGACAATTTACAAAAAAAGAAGAATAAAACTATAAATAACTCTTTACCAATAAAGAAATTTAATTTTCATGCCTTAAACTTCTCCACAAAGAAAACTAAGGCACAGAGAACATCACTAGTGCATTCCACTAATTTAAGAAAGAAATATCACCAATCTTAATAAACATGTCCCGAGAATAGACAAGAGAAGGAAAAGAAACCCTTTGAATTTAATAGCGCCAGCATAACTTTACACCAAACTTATAAGAAAGGAAAATGACAAGCCTATCTTGAGTGTTAAGTATAAATGCAAAAAAACACTACAAAGATGTCTTAACTAGTTGTTTTTATTTTGTATGAACATCATTTTTAGACTAAATAAAACAGCTGTAATCTTAGCTTAAAGATTCTAAAGAATAAGCATAATGTGCAAGAATTCAGAGAACATTTTTGAGGCTATGTCATTACAGTTTTCCTATGAAAACAGTATATATGTAGATGGCTACCAGATGGTTCTAGAACAGCCAAGAATTTAGGATGAGACAGAAAAGTTTTTTCTCTTTCTCTGCAGCGCAGGACAGAGAATATGTGATTGCATATTCATTCTTAGATTCAAAGACAAGTTCCAGATGAATATATAATGACCTCCTGTGTTTATAGCTTGAGGAGGAAATTGTTATCCAAATTCTTTTCTTTCTCATAAATGCAGTATAAAAGAGACACGTAATTTATTTATATCCTGAATCATTTTTATCTTATCAATTAAAACTGGGAACAAAATGAGTAGCCACCTTTATGATTTAGTTTTTGTTTTTAAGAATCATCTTTGGGGATCCCTGGGTGGCTCAGCGGTTTAGCCACTACCTTCTGCCCAGGGCGTGATCCTGGAGACCCAGGATCGAGTCCCACATCGGGCTCCCTGCATGGAGCTTGCTGTCCCTCTGCCTGTGTCTCTGTCTCTCATGAATGAATGAATGAATGAATGAATGAATGAATAAATAAATAATAAATAAATAAATAAAAGAATCATCTTTACTGGGCATCCCTGGGTGGCTCAGTGGTTTAGCTCCTGCCTTCAGCCCAGGGCGTGATCCTGGAGCCCCAGGATCGAGTCCCACATTGGGCTCCCTGCATGGAGCCTGCTTCTCCCTCTGCATCTCAGTCTCTGTCTCTCTCTCTCTCTCTCAGGAATAAATAAATAAAATCTCTTTAAAAAAAGAATTTAAAAAAAAATCATCTTTACTTGGATACCTGGGTGACTCAGCGGTTTAGTGCCTGCCTTCCGCCCAGGGCGTGATCCTGGGGGCCCGGGATGGAGTCCCTCAGGCTTCATGAATGGAGCCTGCTTCTCCCTCTGCCTATGTCTTTGCCTCTCTCTGTGTGTGTCTCTCATGAATAAATAAATAAAATCTTTTTTAAAAATCATCTTTACTAACAAACTCCTTATTTCCCATAATACTTCAGTCAGAACCCTAGGCTATGGTCCACATTCACTTGACATTTTTCAAAATGTTAATTATTTCTGATATTCATATTATATCCATTTGAGCAATGTAAAAGCATCTTTGCAATTTAATCCACCTTCACCCCAACCCAGCAAAATGCATTTAGTTTCTGGAATATTACTGTTTCCCTCTAAATGTAAATATTGAAGGCAACAAACACCAACAGATCATTAACATTATCAGACATGCTGTTAAAATTTTCCCATTCATGCATTTCCCAAGCATTGCTTTTTCCTTCTGTCTACTTGTTATTAAGCTCTTTTTTCCTTCCCTTTTACTAGTTTGAGGTTTCTCTATTATACAACGAATTCTATTGTACTGCCTACATAGGTTTTTTTTTTTATCTGAATGTATTTCATATGCTAAGCAAGCTTCCTTTTTTTAAAAAAAATATTTTATTTATTTATTCATGAAAGACACAGGTAGAGAGAGAGGCAGAGACACAGGCAGAGGGAGAAGCAGGCTCCATGCAGGGAACCAGACGTGGGACTTGATCCCCATTTTCCAGGATCACACCCTGGGCTGACGGCAGCACTAAACCGCTGAGCCACCCAGGCTGCCCTCAGCAAGCTTCCTTAGTTACAGCACTCTAACGATTTTCAAAATGCAGTTATGAGTTTCAAAGTCAAAATAGATAATTAACCAATGGGAAAGTCTACTAATGGCATATATTTAAACAAAAACACCTAGAATGTAAAAAAAAAAAATTCTATCACTGTTAACGAATGTCACTTCAAAGGGGAAACATTCTACATCCTAAGTATCCTGGCAAAGGGGAAACTGCTTCAACTCCAGATGAACAATACAATAATATAACATTGATGTGTCCAAACTAAAATTTTCATGCCTAAGTCAGTGGTTCACTGTTGCGCATTTTTGCCACATTATTATACTTATTATCTAAAAAATTTGCCAGTATAATTAATTTTAAATGGTAAGCAGAGATTTAGATTTCATAGACAACATCTTGGATACCAATCTAAACAAAATTAAATTGCTCATCACAAATCTTAGAAAAAATTAACATGAGACACATGTTATCTACTTGTTGCTCAGTACATCAATTTTGTTTATATCTGTAAAATATTATCAACAGGAGATATACAAATAAAAATGTTTTCTGAATTACCTAAATGATAGATTTTGTATTGTAAAATACTAGTAGCCTTGTAAAATATGTTTGTTTGTTTAAGTAGGCTCCATGTTGGGCTTGAACTCACAACCCTGAGATCAAGACCTCAGTGGAGATCAAGAGTCAAACACTTAACCAACTGAGCCACCCAGGTGCCCCGGTTTCTAAAATACATTAATACACACTGTAAGCTAAAACAGGACAGAAGGGCTTAGTATTTAGAGTACAATGCTAAGTGAAATACGTCAGTCAGAGAAAGATAACATACGATTTTGCTCACATACAGAATTTAAGAAACAAAACAAATGAGCAAAGGATGGGGGGCAGGGAGGAAAGAGAAACAAACCAAGATTGGACTTTCAACTATAGAGAACTGATGGTTACCAGAGGGGAGATGGGTGAGAGGGATGGGTGAAATAGGTGATGAGGATTAAGGAATGCACTTGTCATGATGAGCACTGGGTAATGTATGGAATTGTTAAATCACTATATTGTACTTCTGTAACTAATACATTACTATATGCTAACTACACTGGAATTGAATTTTTAGCTTAATTTCTTTTTTTTAGCTTAATTTCTAAAAGAAGAACTTAGTATTTGAATGAAATATAAACACATAAACATCAACACGATTCTGTATGACTCAGACATACAGTTAAAATTGTTCGGAAATTGCAGTCTTAAAAGGATTTTTGTTTTATAAAATTCAAGCAATAAATATTTTATTTCTAGAATTCTGTTGTTGTGTTTAAGGCATTCAGTGAACACTATGACAAGTATTCTTTTCTAAAGAATCAAGTTTGGATCACTATGCAATTGGAGAGGAAGAGGAAAACAATAAAACGCTTGGGTGAATTACAAACACTCCATCTATGTAGAAGTTATTTTATCCATGCTCTTATACATCATACTTTTCTTAAATGTAAGGAAATATCCAGTCCACAAAAATTACTAGCAGACAATGGACTACCTAAAAAGTGAAATTTTAACATTGATGGAAAAAGATTGCTCAAGTGGACAAATGGGATGGCACAAATGGATGTATGAACAGTATATCTTTGCTACTGTCACTTATTTAAGCTTAAAATTTTGGTGGCAGGGGATATTTTCCTTGTTATTAGCTATATTTATCCACATATATATGTTTATAGATATATATATTTTTAAAGTAGGCTCCATGCCCAACATGGATCCCAAGGTGAGGCTTGAACTCACAACCCTGAGATTAAGACCTGAACTGAGATCAAGAGTTGAATGTTTGACTGAGCCACCCAGGTACCCCTACATTTTTCCTTTTAAATAATTTTTCAACTTCCAGATCCAATTCCTTTCGAGTCTACTCAAAAGGTGTTTTTCAAACAATACCTGACTCCCAAACTTCAGTCATTACTGATATTCTCATCTCTCTTTGTTATAGAAAGCAATGAAATAGAATAAATAAATTATGAATTTTTTGGTAGGAAGAGAGTATATACATTAAGTGTTTTGATACCTGAAATATTAACACTATAAAGCACCAATTTTCTCCCTTAAAATTAAATGCACTCTTTTGTGTCCACTTCAACTTTCACAATGCAAAGACATGCATCCCTGATAATCACTCCATCATCAATGGAAACTGCCATCATATTTAGCGCCAGAACACAGCATTGAGGTTGTTCAAGCAAGCTCTAGGACCAGAAAATCCCACTTCGTGTTGTTTCATTATTAGACATGAGAAAGAAAATAACCATTGAAATAATATATTTGAAAATGATCTTTAAAGTGTTGAAGATATATACATGTAAAGTGGGTAAATGAGTTAAATCTCTTCCCTTGATGTTGAACTCTTCCCTCTATGGTACCACACCATTCATACACTGCCAAATGTATTTAGTATTTCATTCAGCAAACATTTATTAATTGTATCTTATAAACTGGATTCTATTATGTTATGTGAGAATATTAAATATGCAAAATTACAATGCATGTAAGTCATTTTATTTGCAGTTAACATCATTATTTGAAGGAGAATAACTTATAACTCGCTTTTCTCCTATTACCTGGAATAGTAAAACAAGGTATCTTCCATTCTCTTCCCTAATCTCTGCACACCTCCTTCCCTTGCATCCATGATCTCTATGAGAAGTCAGAAGTCTTCTTCTAGAGATCAAAACTGCCAAAGATAGCAAAACTGCTAAAGACTGTCATCATTTGATTTAAAAAGTTTCTGAAATGCAGAGGGCCGCTATGGATACATTTAAGTATTTGAATAACTTTACTTCTATTAGATGCATTACTCTCAGATATGGTATTTACATATTTTAAAGTATACTGCCCTCTAAAATAATAAGAAAATTAAATCCAACTTGAATGGGCTTTGCATGGCAAATGTACCTTGAATATATTAATATTTCTGATGTAATAATTTTCCTCTTTCAAGTACTGAGTAACACATGGAACTGTTGAATCATTACATTGTACACCTGAACTGAATATAACACCATATGTTAACTGGAAGTAAACTTAAAAAAACAATGGTTCATCTTTCTTCTTTGTGAAATATATCAATAAAAACACAACATTAAAGGTTGTCAAGTCCTATACCCAATGGTTTTATCTTCTTTCTATCAATACAAATCGGTGCTCTAAGACAAGCTTATAATTTCCATATACTTACAAATAATGTGTGGAGCTATTAGTTCTGTTTTAGAGTGTCATTCTCACAAAAGACTACCTCCCCAAAATGGCACTTATTTAACGTATGACCTAGAAAATATGTTGCATTTTATCAAATTGTGTATCACTCAAGATTAAATTCAAATGCCATCTCTACCAGAACACCTCTGATTCCCTCCGTCCTTTCCCAGATGTTCTCTCACATTCTCTCTTTCCCTTCTCTCCACTGCAATTTATTTTTACATTTTTTAGGTTATCATCGTTAAATTGTGTATTGTAATGGTTTGGACAAATGTCCTATCTTCCGTGATATTATGCTTATGTTATGCAAAGAGTATTGTGTATTTTTTACTCCTACTTTTGGTATCAGAATGCTTTACACATATCTGTGACTCAAAATATTTTTTGAATGAAGAGATTTATGCTTTAAATAATTCCTTAAACAAATTCCTAAAAGGTCATTTATTACCTGTACCAAAAACTGGTGCCTTACTTCTAATTTTGGACCATTATACTATATTACTTTTATTGTTCTTTAATGGGTTTGAGTCTCTCAAAAACAAACTATAAACTCCTTGAAGTCAAGAATAGTCTTTTACAGTGTGGTACTGGCACAGAAACAGACACATAGATCAAGTGGAACAGAATAGAGAACCCAGAAGTGGACCCTGAACTTTATGGTCAACTAATATTCGATAAAGGAGGAAAGACTATCCATTGGAAGAAAGACAGTCTCTTCAATAAATGGAAAATTGGACATCCACATGCAGAAGAATGAAACTAGACCACTCTCTTGCACCATACACAAAGATAAACTCAAAATGGATGAAAGATCTAAATGTGAGACAAGATTCCATCAAAATCCTAGAGGAGAACACAGGCAACACCCTTTTTGAACTCGGCCACAGTAACTTCTTGCAGGATACCTCCACGAAGGCAAAAGAATCAAAAGCAAAAATGAACTATTGGGACTTCATCAAGATAAGAAGCTTTTGCACAGCAAAGGATACAGTCAACAAAACTAAAAGACAACCTACAGAATGGGAGAAGATATTTGCAAATGACGTATCAGATAAAGGACTAGTTTCCAAGATCTATAAAGAACTTATTAAACTCAACACCAAAGAAACAAACAATCCAATCATGAAATGGGCAAAAGACATGAAGAGAAATCTCACAGAGGAAGACATAGACGTGGCCAACAAGCACATGAGAAAATGCTCTGCATCACTTGCTATCAGGGAAATACAAATCAAAACCACAATGAGATACCACCTCACACCAGTGAGAATGGGGAAAATTAACAAGGCAGGAAACCACAAATGTTGGAGAGGATGCGGAGAAAAGGGAACCCTCTTACACTGTTGGTGGGAATGTGAACTGGTGCAGCCACTCTGGAAAACTGTGTGGAGGTTCCTCAAAGAGTTAAAAATAGACCTGCCCTACGACCCAGCAATTGCACTGTTGGGGATTTACCCCAAAGGTACAGATGCAATGAAACGCCGGGACACCTGCACCCTGATGTTTATAGCAGCCATGTCCACAATAGCCAAACTGCGGAAGGAGCCTCGGTGTCCATCGAAAGATGAATGGATAAAGAAGCTGTGGTTTATGTATACAATAGAATATTACTCAGCCATTAGAAATGACAAATACCCACCATTTGCTTCAATGTGGATGGAACTGGAGGGTATTATGCTGAGTGAAGTAAGTCAATCGGAGAAGGACAAACATTATATGTTCTCATTCATTTGGGGAATATAAATAATAATGAAAGGGAATATAAGGGAAGGGAGAAGAAATGTGTGGGAAATATCAGAAAGGGAGACATAACATAAAGACTCCTAACTCTGGGAAACGAACTAGGGGTGGTGGAAGGGGAGGAGGGCGGGGGGTGGGGGTGAACGGGCACTGAGGGGGGGCACTTGACGGGATGAGCACTGGGTGTTATTCTGTATGCTGGTAAATTGAACACCAATAAAAAATAAATTTATTAAAAAAAGAATAGTCTTTTAATATGTATATACTTCCAGGATTCTTAGCACAGTGTCCTTAGCAGGAGCGTCCAATTCTCAAGCAGAGCAGGACTAACTCCATTTTGTGCTACACCTGCCACCTCCTGTATCACCCCCACATGACCTGCTTATTGCTTAAGGCGCTGCCCCACCCTAGTCAAGTCGCTGGGCACACCCTAATCGGAAATCGGATCATAACAATGTAACCCTGCCTTGTGCCTGCCAAAATTGCGTGCCAATTCTGACCAAAGTAATAGGCCAGCGCAAATGGATACTATAGGGTAAGATGTAATTCAGTTGGCCACCTGTGTGTGGACCGACATGACTGTGCAACTTTCTGCGTATCCCATTGACTACTGGCCCCTATAAAGCTGCTACGCCTCTTAGTTTTGGGGTCCAAGTCCCTGCTCCGCTGTGTCGGGTATACTTGGACCCAAGCTCAAGCTTGTAAATAAACCCTCATGCGCTTGAAAAAAAAAAAGGAGTGTCCAATTCAAAGGATTAAATGTTGAAAGACTCACCTAAGAAGCACTTCAGAACATAGCTAGCAGTCATCTCCTGGCCAAGGGAATCAAATCCCCAAAAATGTGCTTAACTTGGCATTGACATTTATGGTATCCCCTTTCCTATTCCAAATGTGAATACAGGATACTGGCAAATTCAGTCCTACCCCAGCAGCCAGATTTCTCAGGTCAGCAGCACTGTATTCCCCACACAGTAGCAAACTGTTATTATCAGAACCAAGTCCTAGAGATGCCTGATAGAGATAGGTCTGAGAGAGTCTCTCAACCATAGTGACATCTATTGTCACTGATGTCAGACAAGGATTCGAAGCCATCTTCCTCCCATACCTCAGTCCCTCTGGAGAGTGACAGCAGCTTTGAGAACAACAAACTGGGCTCTAATTCACCTTGACACACACAAAGAAAAGCAAGCACCCCAGAAATAAAGAGGAAATACAGGCTAGGGCAATTACTAAATACAGGTTCTGGGTAGAAAGGTGGCCTTCTGTTTCCCAGGTATCTTCAAAGTCTGGAAGGACCCAAGGCACACAGTTGCTCAATAGTATACCCAATGTGATGGAAGAGGAAAGTGGTGGGTCTCCACGGTCCCTAACTACTACCACCACTCTCTGTTTCATTCCATCAGTGGGAAGAATTAAGCGGGCGGTATGTAGCTCTCCCATACTAGAGGAAACTCTGAAAAGGCTAGAGTCAGAAGCCTGAGAAATATGGTATGAGAAATATGGTAGGAAAGCCAAGCATTAGAACCGCTGTCTGCATCCTCTGCTACCACTTTTGTGACCAAGTGTCCAGTTCTGGCAGAGCAAGGCACAATTTCCACAGGAACAGAGCCATTTCTGGGCAAGGGAAACAAGAGGACTGGAGCATTGTCATTCCTATCTACCACAAACAACTTCACAGTCACTGTTGTACTTCTGGGAAGAATGCCACCATCCTGGGCTTCCACTTGGAAGTGAAACCCCTTGAGCTGCTCAAAGTCAAAGGGAGTTCTGGCAGTGATAACCCCGCTGGATGGTTCTACTGCCACCAAGCTAGAGGCTGTCTTTCAGAGATAACATCCAACAGCTCATAGAAGACAAGGCCATTCTTCTCCAGGTCAGGATCTCCGGCCAACAGTCAGCCTAGAGAGGCCCCAGGACCATTGTTTTCAGCCACAAAAAGTTCCTGTTGTGGTTGAGCAAAGCTTGGTGAATTGTCATTCACGTTAGCAACAAACACAATTAGTGTCCCGCGGGTGCTCAATGGGGGTGAGCCACTATCTGACGCAGTGATCAGGACCTGGTATTCGATGACCTGCTTCCGGTCCTGGGGCCCCTCAGTCAGCAAGCTGTAGTAGTTATCAAAGGAAGCCTTCAGCTTAAAAGGGCCTCCACTGGACATGCTACAAATGACCTTATACCGTGGCGCGGTATACTGTGCGCTTAAATACCGGCGCATTGTCGTTTGTTTCCACCACTATGATGGTAATTGTGCGTCTCCGGAGCGCGCGGGCTGCCCGCCGTCCTTAGCGGTGAGCACCAGCTGGTGGGTGGCGCGCTGCTCCCGATCCAGCGCTTTCTCTAATACCAACTCCGGGTATTCACTGCCGTCGACCCGCGATCCCATCACCAGGTGAAAGCGCTGGCTGGGGCTCAGACTATAGTTTAGGACCCTGTTGCTTCCCTCGCCAGCATCTTGGGCATTAGGGAGGGTAAAGCAGGCTCCGGGCATCAGGAACTCGGGGATGTGCAGCTGCACGTCGCCGGCAGGGAAAAGAGGCGACTTGTCATTGTCCACGACGTGAACTCGCATCGTGTGTAGCTCCAGCGGGTCCTCGAGCACCAGCTCATAGGTCAAGACGCAGACAGCTTTGGTCCCGCACAGCCGCACAGCCGCACAGCCGTTCGCAGTCCGCGGGCTCTAGGACTACCAAGCTACCGCTGGCCAGATCCACCCCGAAGTAGGGCTCGCGGTGGCTGGAAAGGAAGCGAAAGTTCCTCTCGGTCAGAGCGGCCGCTGACAGCTTCAAGTCCGCGGAAACATTGCCCACGGCCACGCCCCGCTCAGTCTCCTCCAACGCTGAGTATTCCAGCCGTCTGGCGTCAGAACCGCAGGACACCCACAGACAGAGAACCGCCACCCTCCAGCCCACCATGCTCCCTCTCGGCGTCCTCGCTCCCCCAGGACCAGGCTCCGGACTCCCGGAGAGCGCGAACCGTACGAGAGCGAGAGCCAGCCGCCCGCCACAGCGAGCTACAGGTGCACTGACCGCCCACCTTCTGCCTCCCGAATATACTGGGATCGCCCGGGACCCGCTGGCTGGAAGCTACGCTCGCCCGACTGGAGGTTTGGCAGCCGTCTGGGAAAGCCAAGCTGGCCGGTGCGGAGGGGCGCAGCGCCGCCTAGGGGTGCAGAGACGAGGTAAACCGCTCGGGCTAGGGAGGCACCGTCTCCATTCCCCGCTAGCTAGGATCTCTCGGAAATTCTGGCAGCCGGCGCCGGGCGGGGCAGGGAAGACGCCCCCAGAAACCAACGCATCTTCCGTCGAACGGCGTTTCTAAGAGCGACGCCCTCAGACGGCGCCGTCTTCACTTCCACAGCCTCTGCCTGAAGATTGCTCATAACCAGGGCTGAGCTCGGCTGGGCTTCCCCCTCGCCACTGTTGGGCAGCGCAACCTCTAGTTCCGGGGGGCTCGGACCCACAGAACCCTACAGAGCCCGCGGAGAGGGCGCACCTCCCAGAGAAACCGCGGGGCGGAGGCGGAGAGAGGCGGACTTGGGACGAGGAATGACCATGCCTTCGAAGCTTAAGGAAACGGGAGCCCCCAATCTAAGGGCTGAGGCGCATTGCAGCTGGATTGCCAGCCTCTCCGGGGCGGGTTAAAGTCTCTCTCCTTTACCTTCTTATATATACCAGGATCCAAGATTTCAATGGAGGGGACCAGCGAGGGGCAAATTGGGGTGTAGGGTCCTCCTGAAACTTCCCCGGGACCCTGGCTTTTCGAGGCACCCAGGTGGGCGAGCGCAAGGCTAACTAACTGTTCGTTTGCCTTTTTGTGGGTCAGCAGTTTCCCCTTACCCCAGGAAGGCCCTATGGGGGGAGTGCCTCGCAAGGGGCCCTTGACTGGATGAGAGAGGTTAGGAACCAGTCAACACAAGCACCTGAAACTCAGACGGACTCTCATCCCCAACAGGAGGTGCGAAGTGGAGTGGGAAGAAAGTAACTGAGGTTCTCTCCAGAGTGTAACCAGGAAAACTGTTCTGTAAATTTACTCTGTAAATATTTAGAAAGTAGCATAGGGTAGGAACTGGCTAGGAACTGGCTACATGTTCTCCGACTTCGTTTTGAGGCCGGTCTCCTGAAGGGAAATCGGTATATTGATCAGTTCTGTGAAAAATAGCGCCTATCTACAAGAAACATCTCCAAATTTCGCCTTGCACCCTACAACCTGCGGCTTTCCCGAGAGGCGAGCCGGAAAAAGATTGCCTTTCAATGACTATTAAACACTAAATTCCTTAAACTTCTTTTAGTACAATTGCAGAGTCTAAAGCCTTGGAACCAAAATTTGACAAAAGCTGAATACAGATCAAGAATTGAAGCTTTCAGGGCAAATATATTTTCTGGTCAGAAAACTGCCTCGAAGTGTTGATAATTATTGAAGCTGAATGCTGGCTACATGGGAGCTAATTACGCGAGTCTCTTAACTTTACTGTATGTTTGAATATTGTTATAATACTTTTTAAAACTGCTGATTAAAATGGGGGTAGAGGGAAGCAAGCTGTTCCAGCATTCTGGTTTTAAGACTGAAAGTGGGATTGGTGAATTCATTATGTCAGTAAGAACCAATCACCTCCTTGGGGACAGTACAAACCCAACCCCTTATCTCTCCCAGGGAAGCAGGGCAAGCAGCAACATAAGGCAATTTAAGTAATAAAGGTCCTTGACTAATTTGTCTTTCTGAGTTAAGGAACCAAGAAAATCAGTGACACAAAGTCTTGGAAAAAATTAAAGCAAAAACATGTTAGCCCAGTGAAGTGTTAGGTAGAGTCATAAGTATAGCCATCACTGGGATTCCTCATTAGGATGTGAAATAACCCATAAAAATTAAATTTATTCACAAAATTACAAACCAAAACTAATTATCTACTTCAGTGACACAGATTAGGATTTGCATTTCCTCATTTTCATTTAATGCTGCCAGCTAAGCTAACGGGTTTGGGGTGAAAGTTTATACTTTTCACTTTTCCCTTAGTAGCATATGCATCTGGAGAGACGCACTCAACTTTTGGAAGGCTGCTGATTTTAAGACCTGCGATCAAGTTTCCAGTTATACTGGGTTTAGAATTTCTCAGCTCTGTCTAGGAGGAAGTATGTGTGGGTACAAATTAGTAAATTGGGAAAAGGAAAAACTCATACTGAGAATCAACGAGGAAATCTTGACAAAAACCCATCCCCCTTCACATACCTCTCAGACTTCTGGCTTTCCCCCCTTTTCCCATTTCTGTCTAAACTGCCACTGATGGGACGCTTGGGTGGCTGAGTGGTTGAGCATCTGCCTTCGGCTCAGGTACTGATCCTGGGGTCCTGGGATGAGTCCTGCATCAGGCTCCCTGCAGAGAGCCTGCTTCTCCCTCTGCCTGTGTCTCTGCCTCTCTTTCTCTGTGTCTCTCATGAATAAATGAATGAAATCTTTTAAAAATAAAATAAAAAAATAAACTGCCACTGATGATTATTTTTAAAGGATTTAATTTCTGTCAAGCATAAGTGAATAGCACTCACCTAATAGGATTTGTCCCACCATCTGCCTCCCTATCTTTAGGCATAACTGGGATTTGTGGGGAAATAATATTTAGGAGATATTTGGGATATTTAGATATCTCAAAGATGAGTTTTTCCTTTTGTATAAGTAGGTGAACATTAAATCATAAATCAACAAAACTTCTCATTAGCAGAACCTAATATTTTATTTTGTCATTTTATGCCATGTTCCATAATTTCCCCTAATTCAGGTATTTTCAAGCTTAAATTAGGCACAAGTACAACTTTAAGTGGACTCAATACAAAAACAGTCTTGTTTTCTGCAGGGGTTCTGTAGCCAAGACTATTATTATAAAGCTCTCCCAACCAAACTTAGCCTTAAATTATAAATTCCCAAGATTTCTAGCAAATACATAAGCTCCTACCAAAGATCTCGCAGCCAAATAAGAAAATAGTAAATATGACACATACTACAGAGTTTGTCAACAAAAGTGATGAGGGATAGAAGCAGAGAAACAGTCACCTTTAGCCCAGAAGGCTGACCACTGGCCTGCATAGTTTTAATAAGGGTCAAATACATCCTTAAAGGGTCTCATGACTGCCTGTGCATCTTACTGATAGTTTATATCGAACTGAAAGTACCAGAGAAATCTTACAGAAGTAGTTTTATGAGTAGAAATTTGAAGAAACATTTATGATCTAATACTCCCTGCATGTCCTCTCCCCCTTGAGCACTAAGTATATAGCCACCAGCTTCATATAACAACAACAAAAAAAAAATGTAGCTCTTTCTGCCCATGGGTCCTGTCCCTGTCCCATACTACTTAAATAAATTACTAAGTTGTTACTAGTTGCACGTTACATTACATCTCAGGTATTTTTTTAAGATTTATTTATTCATTTATGATAGACATATATATTATATATTAATATATATTATATGTATTATATATATTATATTATATAAAGAGAGAGATAGAGAGAGAGAGAGGGGGCAGAAACACAGGCAGAGGGAGAAGCAGGCTCCTTGCCAGGAGCCCGATGCAGGACTCAATCCTGGTACTCAATCCTGGGACTCGATCCTGGGACTCGATCCTGGGACTCCAGGATCGCACCCTGGGCCAAAGGCAGGCGTTAAACCGCTGAGCCACCCAGGGATCCCCATCTCAGGAATTTCTTGGCCACTCTGCTCAACTACCCATAACAAGAGGATATTGCATTTAAGACAAAATTAAGGGGCAGCCCCGGTGGCACAGCAGTTTAGCGCCGCCTGCAGCCTGGGGTTTGATTCTGGGGACCCTGGATCGATTCCCACATCAGGCTCCCTGCATGGAGCCTGCTTCTCCCTCTGCATGTGCCTCTGCCTCTCTCTCTCTCTCTCTCTCTCTCTCTCTCTCTCTCTCTGTGTGTGTGTTTCTATGAATAAATAAATAAAATCTTTAAAAAAATAAGACAAAATTAAGATTTTATTTTATTTTATTAAATATTTTATTTATTTATTCATGAGAGACACAGAGAGAGGTAGAGACACAGCAGAAAGAGAAGCAGGATCCCCACGAGGAACCCCATATGGGACTCCATCCCAGGATTCCAGGATCACGCCCTAAGTTGAAGTCAGAGGCTCAACCACTGAGCCACCCAGGACTCCCTAAAATTAAGATTTCAAACCAGATTTTCTTAGTGCTTAAGATTATTCCTTGGGAATATATTATGTACTTAAACTGACTTAAAAGACAGGACATCAACATAATATTAAGCAAATTTTCATCCTGTAGAAGTTGATGTAGTGTCCAAATCAAGTCCCCCCAATCCCAAATCAAGTCTAGCAGAGTAGGAGTTCTTTGAGGGTAGAGGCCTCTATCCTCAAATTTTGTTTCTTAAGTATCTAGCTAGGCTCTAAAGCACTCTCAATATACAACATCCTCTGCCACTTTTTTCTTGCATCCATTACCAATAACATATTACTACAGAATTTCTTTCTCAAAATTCTAATCCTAAGGAACTAGTTTTTCTCCATGACATAATACCATATAAAGAATCTTGAATCTTTCTTCATGAATTTTCACTGACTCTATATTGTTTACTTATTACTTTTTATAATTATGTACCAATTTTTAAAAAATTACTTTTTTCTAAAAATCTTTTTCTATTTCATCTTCAAAGTGTAGCCCTCAGAACTTAAAGTCATACTCCAGGTTGATCACATCTGGTGCAAAAGAGGAGCTCTGGCCCTTTTGATGCAGGCTGGCTGGGCTCAGGGACCCCGAAGGGGTCCCAAAAGACCAGCAAAGAGGTTCTTGGCTTCACACAGGCTAGAAATCAAACACAAGCCATGGCGAAGTGAGAACAGAATTTATTGAAGATTTGTGGAGAGATCAGATACAGACAGTGTATCTGGGAGACTCAGAATGAAAAGGGAGCTTGGGGTTTAGGGTTTTGATTGAAGATGGTGGTCTGGTATAGGTGTCCCTTCAGGCATTCAGGAACTGGTCAAACATGGACAAGTGCTTAAGTGTCCTTGGTAAGTCACTTATGCTCTGGGAGCAAGGGTCTTAGTGTTATGTTAAGGTGTCTGGAGTCAGTGATCTTGGAAAATGTTAATGACAACCTTGCTCAGTCATTCCTTAGACGTTATCTGTTATGCTGAAAGACCCCCCAAAATCATTAACTCCTTGACCTTTATAAGGAAGACATACATTAAGGCACAAATAAGGTGGGGGTATAGGTCCTAGCAAGAATAGAAGCAGGAAAAGGAACAAAAAAGGGCAATTCTTTCATGCAGTCTCTTCAGTTTCCCTGTCTAGATCTAATCTTATACATGCCTTAATGTATGTTCTCCTGGTAACAGTCAAGGAGTTAATGATTTCTTCAGAGTCTTCCAGCACAACAGATAACATCTGAGGAATGACCAATCGAGGTTGTCATGAATGTTTTCCAAGACCAGAGCCTCAGTGACTTATGGAGGATGTCTAAGAACTCATCCTTGTTTTGACCAATTCCTGGATGCCTGGGGGACACATATACCAGACCATGGTCTTCAATCAAAACCCTAAACCCCAAGCAAAGGTGAAACACTCTCCTTTCTTTTCTGAGTCTCCCAGACTATCTGTATCTGCTCTCTATATAAATCTTCAATAAACTCTGCTCTTATTTCCTCCAGGCTCATGTTTGATTTCCATCCTGTAGAAGTCAAGGACCCTCTTGTCTGGTCCTGTGGGACCCTCCTCTGGATCCTTGAACCCAGCCAGCCTGAATCACTTTCATTATAAATACTACACACCAAGGAACAGAGTCTAAAATTGCATCGAACTCTTTTTTTAAAAAAAGATTTTATTTATCCATTCATGAGAGACACACACACAGAGAGAGAGAGAGAGAGGCAGAGACACAGGCAGAGGGAGAAGCAGGTTCCATGCAAGGAGCCCAATCCGGGACTCGATTCCGGGTCTCCAGGATCACACCCCGGGCTGCAGGCGGCACCAAACCGCTGCGCCACCGGGGCTGCCCGCATCTAACTCTTGAACACCTACATCATATACTTTTTTCATGATGGACTGAAAACTAAAATTCATTTCTTCTAGATGCTCTTAAGCCACAGAT